AAATAAGTTTAAGGGTGTGAAATTGCAAAAAAAAAAAAAAAGGAAAGAAAGAATAAGAAAAAGGATGAAGTGATGAACAAAAGAAAGGTCTTGATGAAAAGGGGTATACTAAGTGAAGGAAAATAAAGCTCTTAATAGGTCCTAGAGTGAGTATGTGCTTAGGATGATTCAAGCCATACATTATCCCATATCTTACCTTGACCTTAGCCATACATTACAAGTTAATTAAAGTCCTATTGATCATTGATTTAGTATTAGTCTACATTAATGGAGAAAGAGATGTAAAACAAACTTATGGAATTCAATTACTAATTTGAATTTTACATGAATATTAACTTATCGAGATTGTACAATGTTCTAGGTGAGAAGATTGCCCACACATACAAAAATTCACTTAACGATAAGCTTGCATTTGGATTGAAACATGAATTTTAATAATATTTATGTGTTGCCTAGAGTTATGAATTTGAATTAACTTTTGAATATATTAAAGGTTATTAATGAAATGGTGTAATTGAATTCTTGTTAAATGTTTTCATGTTTAAGTTATTATATGTTGTTTTATATTTTGCTCGAGTACTAGTAAAATCTTAAATTTGGGATTGTGATAACTCTAGTATATTAAGTTATTTTGACATATTTTGAGGGCTTAAGTAGCTAGATTTTTGTGTTTTTAAGTTTAGATTTTAACATTTTAGGTGTTTTTCTAATGTAAGTTAAATTATATGTTGAATAGTTAAATTAAGTGGTATTAGTTTAATTTTACTTTATTTTGTTTTTAATTTATTTTAAGAAAAGTTAATGTTGATATCTCTCATGGTTTCGTGCAGGACATGTGATGAGCAAGGTAAAATTAAGTTATGATAGCATAAGTCTAGTGAAAGTATCACTCGTACATGTTTTAGTAATTTAAAGATAACTTAAGCTGTAGAAATTCAATTGATGTGATTTTTAATTCATTAGAGAGCTAAGAGAATACGATATAACTTTCATGTTTACAATTTGCCTAGTTTAGACCAAATCTAGGTGAAAATCATGATTGGAGTTGATAGACAGATGCAGTTATGCACAAAAGGCAGCCTGGTGATTGAGGTCGCGGCTTTGAGTTACTCATGGCAATGAAGCTAAAGAAACTACTGCTACAGCGTTGGGAGAATCATGGCCGCAATGCTAAGTTGGAAGGGTACACCATACTAGAGGCCAAGAGCACATTACTATGGCACTAGAAAAAGAGCATTGTGATGCTACCAAGGCTTGTCACAAAGCCGCGGCGCCACCTCAGTTTCCAAAATTAAAACTTTGATAGAAAATTGGAAAGTAGGGCACCTTGCACATATTTAAAAGCTTTTGAAAGGATTCAGAGGGGGAGACAATAACAGCTTTTTTGGAGAATTAAAGTTAAGAATCAAGCAAGAAATTAAGAGCATTTGAGAGAGATTTGAGATTAACTAGGCTTCAACATTATTTTATTTCTCTCTTTTGTGTTATACTTATTTTTTTATTTTGAATTCATGGTTGAATTTCTTTGAATATTGTTTTATTTAGATATGATGATATAATTTACTTTTCTAGGATTATGGTGGAGTTCAACATGTAGTCTGAATACTCGTTTTTCCATTATTTATCATGAATGGGTATCGTTTTACTTATTCAAATATGTTCTTAATGCTTTTAATTGTCAGATCAACAACTAATTGATTGTGAATCTAATTCAAACTCGACAGAGAGATTTTAGATTGGAATAAGATTTGAATAGCGTATGTTTACATCACTTAGGTGATCTGATTTGCAATTCGGGGTAGGTATACAATAATTGCCATACATAGCCAACTTAGAACACTAGCTTAATGAACCTTATTTAATTGATTCCTATAGACATACAGTGACCCAATTATGTTAGGTATTTGTGCAAGCATCTCGACGGAGACTCGTACATAGCTTTGGATTCTAGGTAACTAAAAGCTGTAAATTCAATAGGTGTTCATTTCTAGACCTTTCTTGTGTTAGAGGTTTTGTTATGCCTGATAGAGAGTGGGATTTTAATAGTCTTGTGAATTATTTAGTTCCAGATGCACTTACTTTATTATCAAAGACTATTGCTTCGTAAATTTATTCATGTTCTAATCGACCATTCTAGGCATTATCAGCTTTTAAACAATTTTCAATGGCTTCGGCTTATAAGTATTTGAAGGAACCGAATTCAGAAAATTGGCTAACGATTTTTGGTAAATGGCAGCTAGCATGGAGATGGAACAGTTTAGATAAAATATGGCTGTTCTCAGTACAATGTCTTTATGAGAGGATTCTTACAAATAAAGAATGGTGTCGTCATCACATCTCAAATGATAGGTTATGCAGACAATGCCATATGGAGGAACAATTAGTGCTTTCATGTTCTTTGGGACTACTTTTTAGCCAACGTGATTTAGCTAAAACTTCTTCAATCAAAGAACGCTAGTTCATTTTTAGGATCATCTCTACCATATTGGTTGTTATCTAATTTGAGTAAGTCAAAAAAACATAACAATAGTGCTCTTTGGGCTATAATTTTTGGAGTAACAATTTGGTTCTTATGGAAATGGAGAAATGCATATGTTTTTGGAGTAACAGTTTGGTTCTTATGGAAGTGGAGAAATGCACATACTTTTGTGAATCAATATATTATTATTGAGAGAAAACTAACATTGATTTATACCTCGGTCTCGACAATTAGTTAAGGTAGTTTTCGAGGACTTGAATAAGGGGGATAGACACCTAGCAACCAAATGGAAGTTTTGATAGGTTGGGTAACTGCTCCCTCTGAGTGGATTACCTTAAATATGGATGGTGCTTGTCAGAGTTTTATAAATCAAGTAGCTGTCAGCGATGTTCTTAGAGATTCAAGTGGCCAATTGAAGGTTGGTTATGCTTTGCGACTGAAGAAATGCTCAACTTATTGTGCAGAACTTTAAGGTGTATATTGTGGCCTTAAATATGCTTGGGATTTAAGATTTCGAAAGATGGAGCTTGAAGTGGATAACAAATTGGTAATTGAAGAGATTTCTTCACAAATGAGACATTCATGCTCTAGTTCTGATTTAATTCAAGCCATTCGTAGTTTAATCTAAAAGTAGTTGGATATTTGAATAATGAATCTTTTCAGAGAGGGTAACAAAGTTGTAAATTATATAGCCAATTAGGGATTTAATGTTTCTAAAAATTTCTTGTCGTATAATAACCCCCTGAATAAAGTTAGAGAATTACTGTTTAATGATGTAATTAGGAATTTCTTTCCCTCGTTTAATTAGGTAATAAATTTTTTCCTTAAAAAAATTTTTTAAATGTTGTCAGGAAATTAGAGAGAGAAAAAAAGAATTTTTTTGTTTTTTATTTAAGTAATAATAAAAAACTTTTTTTTTAAAGTTTAAGTTATTAAAAATTTTAATTTTACCTCATTAATGAAATAACATCATTTGATGAGCTGATAATATATAATTTCTAGACAGTATCAATGTATCGAATATTAATCCCATTATTTTTACGTTAAGACTCACATTATGCAATAAAACCTGTGTTTTGTAGAACTTGTACGGGCCACGAATTTTAGAGCTCAAACCCATTACTATTAGAACATTATCTGCCCTACCGGGCCACCTTCAGTTGAAGGGTCTCAAACCAGGCAGCGATTGCCTTAGTATTAGCCCATGCTCCAAAATGGGCTTGGCTTCATTCAGAAAAAGAGATGCATAAAAACTATTATTGACAAAAACCAGTTATCAAGTTTTTTTGGAGTAAACCAGATACCAATGGATAATAATAAAAAAGTTTCTTATATTAGTGAATATAAGAAAATAAATTAAATCAATAATTTTTTAAATCTATTAGATAAGATTTAATCTTGTAACAACACATGAATTTTTACTCAATTATATGGGACCATTTTCTGTCCTAATAACCTAAACGTGTGAAGAGACATTCTGCTCTCCACTTTATTTAACAAAATCACAATCATTTTCCACAGGAAAAAGAAAGATAAGTCAAACAAGCAAGTAAGATAAAGATAAGTTTTTTTCCTTTTAATTGGCAAAATAACGATAAAGTTGAAAGTTCACGTCTAAATCTAAGCATCTCTAAATTCTACGCGACATTTCAAATAAGGAAGAAAAAAGATAATAGACTTTGTTAATTATAAATTTTTTTAAACCAAAATTTTGATTTAATAAGGCTGAAGAAAAGAAAATGACTAAATATCTAATTAAATCCTGAAACTATATCAATAAAGTTAATTTAACTTTCATCTTTTTATTATATTTAAATAAATTATTAAATTTTTATTTTAAATTAAATAAACTATTTCACTGACTATTAACAATTCAGTCAAAATATAATATTTTTTATTATATGACATGTTAACGTGTCATTTTGATAATGTCAATATCATGTAACAGATAATATGATATAACAAATTAATGACAAAGAATTAAATTTTTTTCTTTTTAAATGTTCAAAGATTATTGATTAAGAATTTAAAATAAAAAATTAAAAAATTAATTATTTTAAATTAATTATCATTTTTACTTAATTGATTTTCATTGTTACTTAATTGAAGTCATCATTCTTAACAAAAAAAAAAAAACTCTTAATCTAACTTTTGTTAAAAATTTATTTGATTTAAAGTCAAAATATAATAATTTATTTAAATAAAAAAATAAAAATTAAATTAACTTTCTTAATATAATTTGAAAATTTATTTTCGTATTTAATAAAAGAAAATTTTGTAATAAACAAATAAATTAATATAATTGATATATCATCATGACATTTTATATAAATAAATTATATTAATAAATAAATTAATAAAAGATCAGAATATAGTTTTCTGTTTTATTTCTTTCTTTCGTTGTTTTCTTTTTCTTATAAAAGAAATTGTGTTTAAAGAATTTCGACAACTATATTTTTTATTTTCTTGGTGACAAAGGAAAACAAAAATAAGAAAAAGAGGAACACGTAAATACTGGGGCATATGCTTTGTTGGCTTCCCCCAATGAAACTCGGATTCGCCCCATCCCTCTCTCCCTCCCTCCCTCTCCTTCCCAAACCTCTAATGAACAGTAACATCCAACGCAGGCAAACCAAATTAAAAAGACGAGAAAAAGAATTCTTCGATCGAATAATGGAATCAATACAGAGCAGAGTGGAGACATGGATCAGGGACCAAAGAGCGAAGATCCTCAAAGTCTCCTGGGGTCCGCTTCAGTGGCGGATGAGGTGGCAGTGGCCGCCGTGGAACTCCGGCGACAGGGAACATCGCCAGAAACTCCAAAAAGAGTATGAGAGACGAAAACGACAGCTGCAAGAGCTTTGCCGAGCCGTCAAAGCCGATTCCCTCTCGGATTTGCAGGACATTCTTTGTTGCATGGTACTCTCCGAGTGCGTTTACAAGGTAAATAACTACCCGCATTTTTCCACTTTTACCATTCGGCCAATTTTATTTTTTTTTAAATGTATAATTTTGATAATTAACTTTTAAATTGAACCAGGTAATTAATAACAAAAAAATTCCATGTTGTTACTTCGGATCAAGAGTTAAAAGAATTGCTATTAAGGCGTTGATAAATTTGATTACTAATGGCAAAATATTATTTTTTTCCTAAATGGTAGAGACCTGCTACTGAAATGATTCGAGCTGTAAACAAATTTAAGGCTGATTTTGGAGGACAAATTGTTTCTCTAGAACGTGTGCAACCTTCTTCGGATCATGTTCCACACAGGTTATTTCATTTTATACTCTGTACTCCTTGTTTTATTAAGTTCAATTAGGTACTCGTAAAGAACCTTTCGTGTTTACTTACCCTTTGCTTGGTAGGGTGGATAGAGAGATGGAACGATTGAATATTGGAGGAGGAGAAAAGTGGAAAGATAGAAAATATTTTTCTTTTAATATGCATGCTGGGTAAGAAAGATGGAAAAGTGGATGAAGAAAATTATTTTCTTTCCATCATGGCTTGGTAAAGTTGAAAAATGAAAGGAAAGAAGATTAAAATTATATTATTTTATTATTTTATATTTTGTAAGTTAAGATAAAAAGGTAAAATTTAAAAAATGATCGACAATCTTATAATTATGCAACACTTAACTCACACACTCCCATTTTGTCTCCTCTAAACTTTCCAATTTGGAATGTTTTTTTTTTTTTGGAATAATAATGCAAAGTGGTAATCTTTCTGGTTTTATTTCCTCTCTCTTTTCTCTCTTACCAAGCACCAGTGAAAATCATTTTATTTCCACTTTTTCAGCCACCCCTTTCCATCCCCCCACTTTTCCACTTTACCAAGCAAAGCCCTAAGTTCAGATGAATCATCTGCTCTGTGATAAGAAGCTATGATAATGTTGGTTATGATGATTTAGTTTTTGTCGAAAGTTCCATATTGCTTCTTTACATAAACCTTAATTTGACCATGCAAAAAGTGCATGTAATGCAGGTGTAAAACTTTTTTTTTTCCTATAACTTAACTCTAATTTTCTCATTACTTGTCAACAATTCAACATGCTTGCTTAGCTTGGACATAATGCAAACAAAATGGGGTTAAATAGCAATGTAAGAAAACATAGAGTAGAACATCATAAATAAAATTGAATGTAGGTGTGTGTTACGTGTACCCATCATAATTCTAAACACTGACATCAGGGTACCTGAGATTTAGCCTCAGATATTGCTCGAGATTGAATGGAATGACATAAGGCGATTAATATAGCTGATTGCCTGATCTGCATTTAGTTTGAATTAAATCTTAGTTGGATATTCCACCATGAAATACTGCTAATCAGTCACATGCGTAGTTATCTGAGATATTACATTTGAACTTTCTCTTATTTTTCCTTTGCATCTATTTTATGGCAGGTATCTGTTGGCAGAAGCAGGCGATACACTATTTGCTTCCTTCATTGGAACCAAGCAGTATAAGTAAGCATGGCTGATTTATAGTTTGACTAATTATTTATTACTTTCAAAAGCTTGATTCCTTTGTTTTCTTGTTGTCATTAAGAGATGTGATGGCTGATGCAAACATACTTCAAGGTGCTATATTTCATGAGGATGTTATTGAGGATATTGACCGGATTGAAGTAACTGAAGCTAACAAAGCTGAAAGGCAAAAAGAAAATGGGGAAAACCAGTTCAATTCCTTGGAATCAAAACCTAAGTGGATTAAAGATAGGCCTAAACCTGCTGCCCATCGGGTATGATTACAGTCTATCATTCATATATCAGTAGAATTTATCTGTATGATACATTGTTGTGTTTTGGCTGTTGATACTTACCACTCTTGAAGATCTTTTGCCCTGTTCATACTTTTATGCAATCAGTTATTATGTATGATAATAAATACTTAGAGATTTTTTTTTAAATATTTCTTTAATTACTTTTTTTTTTCTAAATTATTATCTCTAGGGTTTCTTGGCTCGTGCTAAAGGCATACCTGCTTTGGAGTTGTACAGACTTGCTCAGAAAAAGAAGCGAAAACTCGTATTATGTGGACATTCGCTTGGTGGAGCAGTAAGTTTGATCAGCGAGTTTGACATAAAATTTACCTGGTTGTTGCGTCTGACTATCCATTTTACTCCTTCTTGGTTTACATTTTAGGTGGCAGCATTGGCTACCCTTGCCATTTTGAGGGTCATTGCTGTATCATCTTCATCAAAGGAAAGTGAAAAGGTTCAGGTCAAGTGTATAACATTTTCCCAACCTCCAGTCGGCAATGCTGCTTTAAGAGAGTGAGTGCTTTATCCTTTCTCTAAAATAATTATCCTTTGCCTTTTTTTTTTGGAAGCTGATGTGTTTGTTCTGTGTGTGTATTATATTCATCTTTGCAGTTATGTTAATAGAAAAGGATGGCAGCATTATTTCAAGAGTTACTGCATTCCTGAAGATCTTGTACCCCGTATCCTTTCACCCGCTTATTTTCATCACTATAATGCGCAGAGTTTGTTAATGTCCTCTGGCATGACCAGTTCATCAGCATCAAAGAATGAACAAGTGTCACAGAAAGGAAAGGCAGAGAAGGTAAAAGAGAATGAAGGGGAGCAATTGGTTATAGGTGTAGGCCCTGTCCAGGGTCCCTTCTGGAGACTTTCAAAGCTTGTTCCATTAGAAGGTGTTAGAAGACAATTTAAAAAATACAGAGGAATGCAAGTTGATCCCATAGAGCCATCTTCAGCTGACTCTACAACTGCATCTTCAATTGAGGATGTAGTTGTTGAACCACAGTCTCTTGAAATTCAAGAGGGTACTGATGGCATATCTCTTAAACCATTTGCTGAAACTGATAATGGTGTATCAGATGCGGAATCTGGAAAGTTAACAGAAAAAAAGAATGGTAGTGGGGGCAACAAGAGATGGCGTAGAGTGCCTTCTTTACCTTCATATGTACCATTTGGACAGGTACGCAATGAATACTTCATTTGTTTGTTTGTTAATCAATTATCTTAAAACTACATGCTTGAAGGTGGAAGATATTGATAATAATTTGTCTTTGTTGTTTATTTGGTACGTACAAGTTCAATAGGCATTTTGATGAGATTGTCTTAAAATTTTGATCGCCATGATCAATTGGTGATGGTTGCTTCTCAGTAACAATTAACTGCACATATCTCAAGGGGCATGTAACAATCTTGTTTCTTCTGTGTAAATTAATGCTGACTTGGAGTGGTCCTAAGGTCTTGCTTCTGCTGGCTTATCTATTTGAGGTTTAGAATTTGGATTCATGAAAATTCAATGAGCTTTCTTATACATCAATTTGTTTTCATTGACATATTTATTGGCGTTTTGTTACCTTTTCTGATAGTTACAAGTATTGCACTCAAATTGGGAAACTGAGATATGTGTTTTTATTCCCCAAGCATCATGCATTGTACTAAATTGTTCTCCTAATGCTATGGTGCTTAATGGTTGCCACAAGTTTGTCATGCTCTCATTTCTATTATTTATAAGTATAATTATTAAATAAATTCACTCATAACAGCTTTATCTCTTGGGGAATTCATCAGTGGAATCACTCTCAGATGCAGAGTACTCAAAGTTGACATCGGTATGAGTTTCCTTTATTTATGCAGCTTCTGTCTAGGGTTTATTTGTTTGGAAGATTTGGTATAATCGGCCCATTTTTAATAGCCATTAATCTTTATGATTCATTAGCTGCAGATTATGTCTTCTTCAACCTCTCATTTCGTTTGCTTTCTTCTGGCAAAGACATTTTCAGGTCAGATCTGTGATTGTTGAATTAAGGGAACGATTTCAATCTCATTCAATGAAGTCATATAGATCTCGATTTCAAAGGTAATAATTAATTATGCAGTAGTTTAACACCTCATGTTGTTTATTTAACTTTTAGTTCTGAATTCTAATTGCAATGTTGCAATTTTTTTTCGTTTCTAAAATCAGCTAGGATCTTTATTCCCTTACATTGCAAATTTTAACCTTTATGGTTTCAATATTTTTACTGCCCTTTGATTGATTCATCATGACAAAAGCACAGCAACAGACACTGAAAAGTACATCAGTCGATACAGTAACCCATTAGGGCCCATATTCTAAACAAATTGAAGAATATAATCATATAGCTCATGAACATATCTACTGTTGATGAACCCAACATTGTTGCCTCCTAGTCCGTTGTTAGAAAATGCTCTTTAATCTAATTTGTAAATTATGTTCTCTACTGAAAATACATATGCACTGCTAATGCAAGATGACCACATATAGAACTGGAGTTGGAACAAGAGTGTAATTATGTAATATTATTTATAAACAATTATCCACAAATTATGAGCTTTATTATTAATCCAAGTGTTCTTTATTATTTATTTTCTTTCCCTAAAAAATTTAAGTATTGCATCAATGGGGTAGACTTCATATTAACATTTCAGAACATGTGTGTGTTGAGATTTATATCGCTAGGCTCCATAATAACTGCTTCCCATCCATTTGGAAAAGATAAGTCGAACTGAAGAATGATAAATGGGCTGGCTATAAAAACATGCCTGTTCCAACATTAGAAGTCTTTAATTGTGTTCAAGGACACATATGTTCTCTGGTCTTGTTGATCCAAACTTATCAAAAATTAATTTGCTGATCAAAGATGGCCTATATGTAATTCTTTATTTTAAGAGTACACTTACCTCATGTATTTCAGGGTTGAAATTGTGGCCAACATCGCCATTGAATTCCTACTCCTATCCTTTACTATGTTGCTGGCTGCCTTAAGCTTAACCAAGTGAAATTGCATTATACTTGATTGAACATTGAACCATCACCAATATAATACTTGGCCAGTTGGCAATTGATGGTCCCAGATGGCTTCTTCTGTGCTTCTTATTGCTAAGCGGATTTGTTAATTTGAAATTAACTGCGCTTAGGTCTTGTCAAATTGATATCTCCTTGGAATTTAGTCAGTCAAAAGGTTCCTGAAGTAAACTGTTTAATCTAGAAACACTATTAGTCATTGCAACATGGGTATGATTTATTTTTATATGATGTTTTACTAATCATTATGTACTTGATATTGTGCTTCTCGTTATTCTTCTTCCTGCTTGTTTATTCTTGTTATCCTTGCTCTCTTTCTGTGTGAACTTTGGCTTGATTTATGCCCTTTTAGCATTAAGGAAAAATTGAAAAAAAAAAAGTAATGAAAATTTTAAAATAACCACAATATGTTGCATATGGCATTGAGGTCGAATTTGGGAACCTTTATTCTAGTGAGTATTTCTTGAAAATAAAGTTCATCCTTATTTGGGATATGCCAGTTGAATACTTGCTCCTTGGGCACATATGCTAGTGCTTTGGATTGCAAATGATTCATTATTGCATTTTTTCTTTGCAGAATTTACGACCTGTGCATGAATGATAATGCTTCATCTTTCTTTGGAATGGAGCAATTGCAACAGTTTCCACATTTGCAGCAATGGCTCGGCCTTGCAGTTGCAGGTGCTGTAGAGCTTGGGCATATTGTTGAGTCTCCTATTATTCATACAGCTACTTCCATTGTTCCTATTGGGTGGAATGGCAGTCCCGGCGAGAAGAATACAGAACCATTGAAGGTTGATATTACTGGATTCAGGTTGCATCTATGCACACTGGTTCATGCTCAAGTAAATGGCAGATGGTATGGTTGTTTGTCATCATTTATGTATTTTATATTTCTATTTGTTTTGATGTCTATACAATATGATAAGATATAGTCATATAATTCTTCAAGATGTTACTCCTTGGATTGATCTGCCTCATGGTGCTTCCGTATGTTTGTTTGATCCAAAGATTTATTTTCCGTTAATATATTTCCTGACATTGAGCAGGTTTAGGGTCAAGTAATTTGCATGGTATGAACCCAGTTATAGTTTTGACTTGGAGCTATCAACTGGAACATCAGTCCAAGTAACCCTAATTGATCATAGGAATCCTGATACAGTTAGGAAAGCTAGCCAGATTTGGGAATTAATACTCGAACATCCAATCAGTGAAAAAACAGCTGTTATTACCCATAACAAATCTGCAGGTTTAACACTACTTCTCTCTTCCCAATCCTCACCCCATGATCAGCAGTGCCCCTCTCCCTCTTGTTTTCTTTTCTATTTTTCCCTTTGTCTTTGATAAAATATGAAGACACTGTTGGGGTTGAATCATCTGCCAATTGATTAAAAATGCCTGATTTCCTCTCTGTTATCTCAATGGGGGCTTGTGTAAGTTTTTGAAAATAGAACCTGTACTGTTTTTGTTGATCACGGGTTGTGCTGGAAAAGGATAAGTGAGAAAACAGCTGAACCCAAATGCACATTTTGTAGAGAACTATATATTTAGTGTTCAATTCCTTATTTGGTTTATCTTTAGCAAAATAATACATGCTGAATCCTTTTTCTGGACATGTTACATTCAAACATATGTATGTAAAAATATGGTAAGGTCAATTAGGTCTACATCTTATATGCTCAACGTTGCACTGGTCTCTCTCTCTCTTTGGTGGATGATAAGCATTATTACATGATGTTGGTTCTTATTCAGGTGTTCAACTACAGTGGAGTCATTTCCTTCAGCACCAGCTTACTCATCTGGTAATGGAGAACCACCAGAATTACAAAAAATCAGAGTCTTAGTAGGAGCTCCTTTGAGGCGACCTCCTAGGCATCAGATAGTAGCAGATTCCTTGGTGCCCATGTTTCCTTTAATGGATTCGGACACTGTTAATCTCAATAGAGAACATAATATAGCATCTTCTCATCAAGAAAAATACATAAGGCCAGAAGGTTTGAGTGAATTTTTCATATTTTGTACTAGTGACTTTACAACTGCAGCCAAGGAGGTTCATGTTAGAACTCGTAGGGTGCGACTTCTTGGTCTTGAGGTGGTATTCTTGTTTCTTTTTTCAACTAGTAAATTTTATATTATTATTTGCTTTCCACATTGCTGAAACTTTTATTTATGGGTTACAAGGGTGCTGGTAAGACCTCTCTTTTCAAGGCAATACTGGGTCAAGGCAAATTGATCACTATTTCTAATATTGAAAATCTACAAGTAGAAGCTGATTTTCAAGACGGTATTGCTGGGGGTTTATGCTACTCTGATTCACCTGGAGTAAATTTGCAGGTATAGTTTCTGTGAAAATCTGAGGAATATTGTTGAAACCATATCATATTTTATGATTCAAGTTGTGTATGCCAGCTGGCCTCAGATTTTACGCCTTTTATGTCAACTTTCCTTATTCTGTAGGCCACTTCTCCAGACAGTTTAGATTTATTTTGTTGGAATACTTTTGTGGAAGATTATAATGCTTATACAGTAGGATAGCAAATATCGTATCTCATATCATTCTGGACCTTCTCTCCATGATTTCTGGTTGATGGTGGAGTTGGGGTGATACCGCAATTGAACATTTTAAAACTTCCTGGTCTTCAAGGAATTTGTCTCTGTAAGTTATTTACCCTCTGTATTTCTTGTATGTTGTAGGAGCTGGACACGGAGGCTTCCCGGTTCAAAGATGAACTATGGAGGGGAATCCGTGATCTTAGTAGGAAGACTGATTTAATTGTTCTTGTGCATAACCTATCCCATAAGATACCTCGGTACAATCATCCAGATGCATCACAGCAATACCCAGCCCTTTCACTACTATTAGATGAGGCAAAAGCTCTTGGAATTCCTTGGGTCCTTGCAATAACAAACAAATTTTCTGTTAGTGCACATCAACAGAGAGCTGCAATAAATACAGTTGTTCAGGCATATCAATCATCTCCAAGCGCCACCGAAGTTATCAATTCTTGTCCATATGTTATGCCTGGTGCTGCTAGAGCATCATTGCCTTGGGGTGTGATAAGTGAAGATTCTGATGGGAGAATGGGTGTTCAAAAGCTTCTTTCTGCTCCAATTGACCTTGTTCGCCGGCCATTCCAAAGGAAAGATACTGTTTTCCCTGTGGAGGGGGTTACTTCTCTTTGCCAACTTGTCCACCGTGTTCTTCAGAGCCATGAAGAGTCCTCCCTGGAGGTACAATTATAGATTATAAATAGCTTTCAATATGCATAGCTACTAATGAGTTCCTCGTCGGCAGGGATTTGAAAATTTATAAAGAAAAAGATTTATAGATTTGTAGCGCAGTTATAGATTTGGATACGCTTGATTATCGGAGAAATTAGCTTAAAAAAAGTGAAGGAATAATAAAACAAAATATATAGATGTTAACTGTGTGATGGAATTGAAACTTTTTTGCAGTACACATTTGCTTTGATGACATTGACTTTTTCTATCCTAACTGAATTGTTGGTCCTGATACAATAGTTACGGAAGAAAAGGATAATCCATATAATCTGATGATCTATTTTCTTTATGAGGTTGCAAACGGATTATAGAAATGCCTTCATTGCCTTCATACTTCTAACTGGACAGCTTATTGTCACTGCTGAAAGGGAAATGGATTCTATTCCATCTGGTGATATTCACATTAGAAACAGTTACATTTCCTTATTTCTCACCAAATTTGCAAAAATAATAATGTAGTTAATTTACATTTTGTGATGTTTATAACATGTCATCTAAGGAGTTTTATCCTATTGTTTTCATGTAGACTTTTATAACTGAATTCCTGGTATATTTGCCCTTGTGCATTTTTATTTAGTTTATATCAGTAGGATGAACTTTGAATGACTGTTATCAATATATTGGTTTTGGAAATACGAAAATCAAATCACTGGTTATTTGTGATGCTCACTCAATTTAGTTACTATAATGTACTACATAATTTGGTTTCTTGTTGATTTATAAGTTCCTATGCTCTTGAATAATTTTTGAGGTTCTTGTTTCATGTCAAATTGAAGGAACTTGCTAGAGATAGGCTTTCATTGGAGTTGGCACAAAAGCATGCTATGACAGTAAATGGGACGAAGGATTCTCAAGCCAAGGCATCCTCTTTGACATCTGCAGCTGTAGGTGCCTCTTTTGGGGCTGGTGTGGGTATTATCTTGGCTGTTGTCATGGGTGCAGCATCTGCATTGAGGAAACCCTGAGGGAACCTTGGGTATTTTTCTTTTTTAATGATATTCAAGGCAGAAAGTCCCTTTGATGTGGAAATCAGGTGTGTTGTGCTTTCTCCACTAGTGTAAATATTTGTTTATGTTAGTAGAGTGCATTCTTAGGTGCCGTTAGCGGGTGTCGGGCCATTTTTTCATTCTATCCAAGTAAATTTATTAGAACTTCTCATATTTGTTTGTTCAACTCATAGTTCCATTGTTGAGAATACATTGTTATATTGAACAGGTGAACAATGAACTTTCTCGTTCATGTTCTGCTTTGCTCTGTCCCACTGTTGTGTGTGCATGTATGCACTTTAGTGTCTTCTCTGAAGGCTAGTATGGAGGGTACTTTCTATAAAGGTAGTGTGATGGCAAACGAGTGAAATAGGATGGGGTAGGAGCGGCAGAGAGGAGGATTGGAGCGGTCTCTAGAGTATGGAGTGTTGTGGCGGGTGGAAAGATTGACAAGTTAAATTAGGAAGTGGTAAATGGGAAAAAGACCTTGGAGTGGTGTGGAAGTGGGGATTAAATACTTGGAACAGAGCGGTGGTGAAGACGACTGGAGCAGTCTCTAGAGGATGGAGTACTAAGGTAAACTGGGAAGTGATAAATGGGAACAAAAACAAGAACATAGATTGCAGAGTGGGAAGTGGAAACGAAGTAGTAGGAAGAGAATAGAAAAATCTGTTTGAACATTCCCTGAAATGAGTTTTAAAGACCCCAGATATATAGCCTAGAAGTATAATTAGTGAGACCAATAAAAAGGTGCCAGCGCATTCTCATTAAACGAATGAAGAGTTAATTCTCAAGAAATGCTTAAGGACTGCGGTAGAACACCATGCGTGAAATTCTTTGGCACAACTGATAAATGCACCTTTAAGCCCATTTAACACCATGTGTGTAATTCTCAAGTAATGGTTAAGGAATTATTTTGAAATTCACACTAAATAATCCGGATAAAATGGGTTTTACTCAACCACTAATAAATGCATTAGAAGTGCAAAAAAGGGGATTAGCATTGATAAGCTTGGTAAGCTAAATCATATTGCAATGATATGAAACACGTTAAGGAGGAATCGGTTTTGCTATAAAACTTGATAATTACCTTTACGGAAGTGGTGTCCTTTTACATTTTCTTTGCAAATGGCTATGTCATTTTTCTAGGAAAATAAAATTAATGTGTAATAAAAATATTAATTTTAAAAAATAATAATCGGCCAATAAACTTGAGGTGTAGTGGCATGTTTAGCGCCTCTGAGGCTTATTACTACTTGCAACAGTTACTATGTATTCTCCTTCTTTTGATCCCTATTAACAAAAGAAGATCTTGTCAAGAATATAAGAGGAATATGGCCAGAGTGTATTAAGCTTAACTTGATTGATAAGCTTATATTATTCTCAATATTAATTCCTAGAGTGAAAAGTGTATTAAGTTGCGGGCATTAACTAAGTTACAAAATTTTCATGAGATGTAATTATGGATTTAAGAAGTCAATTTTCTTTCAAGACAAGATGGAGGCACCACTGAGTTACAAGGTCAAATCTGTTTTTCCTTCTTAATACTGAACAGGGACTCTTATATGTGAAATCTCAAGACAGGCGTAAAAATCAGGCAATTTTGTCAAAACTGAGCGAATAGTACATTTAAGAATACAAATGAAGTCTTATTTTATTACTATGGCAAGATCAAAAATGACAACAGGGAAGCACCAAAACTGACAAATTTAATCAGGCTGAACTCTGCCAGCGCCAGGTAAGAGGCAATGGAAACAGGGTTTGCAATAGTATCCGGAAAAAGAGTGTAGTGTGAAACATGAAAGACCAGAGATCATCTAGCACAGCAGGAGAAACCCTCCTTGGATGAGTTGGCGCCATCCTTGACCAGGGTTACTCGATTGGCAGATAACTCGGCTTTATATGCATCTGAATTTAGGGCTTTTCTGCTCACATTGTTGTAGATTTCCCTAATAACAATCTCGAAAGCTGTCTGAACATTGGTAGAGTCAAGGGCAGATGTCTCCATGAAGAATAAGCCTTCTTCTTCTGCAAGGCTCTTGCCTTCCTCCACACTGACATCTCTAATATTCTCCAGATCACATTTGTTCCCTACCAGCATCCTTGCCATAGTAGTATCACAATGAGCTGCACGGTTAATCACATTAGATTAAGATTTTTTACCTTAAACCAAACACATGAAATGCCGTTTCATTCACTTAAGGGTCAAAACTTTGCCTATTTCAGGGAAAATTAACATTAGTTTCTACGAATCCTCCGAAGTCTACATACTCTCTATTTTATTCCTTAAAATCAACCAGAGAAAGTAAGATGGACGAGAAAACCAAATGTTTGTTTCCATTTCCTCCAAAATGTAACTTTCAAAAGGTGAGTTCTGATCCTATGCACAAAGGGTTGTATATGCATTAAAGATTGCTTTTATTAAAGGGGAAGGTAAGCAATTATTTTCTGATTGCTTAACCGATTCCTCTCTTATCTTCTAAGTTGTCAGATCAGGAGGAAGAAAGGACAGTTGGGCACCAGCCAAGAAAGGTATACTAACAACTTTTTGCACAGAATCTGAAAGGAGCTTTTGTCATTGCTCAAATCCCACCACTCAAAAAGAAGTAATGGTGACTCTTAACGCGTTTTCCCAATCAAAATAAAAAGGAAAAAGTAGCTAGACAGTAAAAAAGTTCGTACTAGTGAAAAGCCAGGGGGTTTTCATCCCCGCTTGGATCTGCATTTTAGAAATTTACTGTAACAGAGACTCCATATATGGTTGCCAGACATCCGCTCTCGAAAAGAGGTTTGAATCCTATTTACTGCGGCAGAACCCTCCCCATTGGTTGCTAAAAGGGACAATCTCTACATTTTCCAATCTTTCTAGCAATAATTCACAGAATCTACAAAATTAGTATTTCAAAAAGATCCAGAGATTTGAGTTCTTCTTTCTTACCAACAGTATGACAAAAACAAATAATGCACTCAAACTGTCAGTTGACTCTGAATTCAGCTATAACTTTCTTCCCCCTTAACAAGAAACAATGATACTAAAGACTGTCTTGACTTCCTCTGTTCCTCAAATCTCAACATTCACTTGGCAAATCCAATATCCAATCACTAGTTATAAAGAAATCGACATTAGCCAAAGAAGACCAATAGAAAGAAATTAGAAACAAACTTACTGGATAGTTCATCAAGCCACCGTTTAATGCTATCGAAGCTACTTCTCCGACTAATATCATAAACAATAAGAGCACCAACAGCTCCTCTATAGTAAGCAGAAGTAACAGCTCTAAACCTCTCTTGACCAGCAGTGTCCCAGATCTGCGCTTTAACTTCTTTCCCATCAATCTCCACCACTTGGGTCTGGAACTCTACTCCAATAGTTGCCTTTGAGTTATTGTCAAACTCGTTTCTGGCAAAACGTGACAAAAGGTTTGATTTTCCCACTGCCGAGTCGCCTATCAGAACAATCTTAAACAAGTACTCTTCACCTCTTTCCTCCTCTTCGTGGCCACCCATGTTGGAGATGTTCTTTTGCTGGTGCTTAGCTGAAATGGGTCTTTTGCTGTTGGTCTGAGATGTGAAGTGGGTTTTAGGCTTTAACCTTGTTAGGAGTGGAAAAAAGATGGGCACTGACACGCTGCGTAATTGGCGGGGTTTGATAGAACTGCGGCGTTTTCGGTTTTGTTTTTATTTTAAATTTTTGGGTTTATGGCGCTGTGGCTTTTGACTGCTTTCGGTTGAGTTTTTTAGTTGGGAGAGTAGACAGGAATAGTGAGGCAAGTGGATTTACTGTATATTGGTGTAAACTTTATGGGGTTTGGTTTGATAGGTACTAGGTTAGCTAACTGTAGTTGTCTCTTCTTGCATGGAGATAGCAATTTCTAAATGCTAATGCGATTGTTTTTCAGGACAGGTGCTTTCGAACTCATTTGCTATATGCTTTCTCTTGAATACTTTCTTTGTTATGATCAAATGCTAGTTTTGGTCCAAAATTGGCGAAGTGGTTTAATTTATTCCAACAATTTTTGACTCTGGATTTAGGGTGATCCAAGATTTAACTTGTCTTCTTTCTGATCTTGCTTAAAAAAAAAAAAAGAGTGAAAATCCCAAACCATCCATGTGATTTAGTCGTGGATTACTAGGTTCCTTCACACTTTTACTCTAATTCCAGCAGTGACTGCTTTCCTGTTCTGTAGATTTCTTTTCCTTTCCGTTTACACTTGTTTATGTTTGGGGATTTGTAATTTAATGTAAAGTCCCCTCGAGGACTTTCATTTATGAGGGTAGCTTATTTTTACCGACTGATCAAGAAGATGATTCATTCTCTCTACCAAATCTTTTCCATTGAACACAGTTAAGACTTAATGGATGACAAAATTTGTGAGGCCTCATTTCCTACAATTCTTGCCTAGATGCCCCTGAGAAAGTTACGTTAAGCAAGACAGTTGGATTTATAAATTGATGTACTGAGTAGAGTGTTAGATAGATAGGGAAAAAGGCAAAGGGAGCCCAATGATGGAGCAGGCTTGCTGCCTGAACGGGCTGCCTAGCCCATGACACCTTTAAGCGTGGCTGTGCGGTCGCAACTACGCACGTGGACGTGCCAGTCACAGAGAATTAGAGAAAGTCGTAGAACAAATACAAAGCAAATTTCAAAAGTTGACCGACATCCCCCCCACCCACTTTTTTCTTTTGGCGAAATTCATGGTTAAATTCTGTTCTTTTCTCAAAGATTCTAAACGCTTTCATGATGTTCAAATCCTCAGTCAACAAATTACAAATAAGGAATTTTGATCCTAAAACTGAGTTATAATTAGTTTTATTTAACATTTTTTCCTAATAAAATTTAGAACTGAAATTGCAGATTATTTTCTGGAAATTAATCACTGGCTATTTGCCTCATTGTCTCGTTGATAATGAAAAAATTAAAAAAAAAAAAAAACAAAGTATTCTACTCGGTGTGGAATACTAAATGGAGTTCTCATAACGGGTCATATTCAGTAAACTTATTCTTTAACAAGCATCTACATGTTATCATCAAGTATCCTATATACTTCAATCTATGAGATCGATTGCTTACTTTCCAAGCAAGGAAGTTTAACATGTACTAGTCTTTGAGCATTGTCAATGTCTTGTCTTGACAATAGAATGACCAAGAACAAGTTTAGAAACATGGCTTTGACACATAGTGATCTCATAATTATAATAACTTTACAATTTTCTTGCAAGGCTTTTATGTTCCATGGGTTTTATCCAATTAGTACTTAATAACTCCTAATTATTGTACTAACATGAAGGAAAGCCTTTATCATATATAATTATGCGATTAAGTATGTATTAAATAACAATATTTATTATTTGAATAATCCAATTGGCTCAAGGGCATATACCAATAGGACCCCGACAAAGTCTATGGCTTGGTTCAGTGCAGAGGAGCTGTAGCAACAAAGACTATTTGAGTTGTATCCAACATGCAACAAAGCGAATCCAGAAACATTGTTCAGACCGAGCTGATGCAAGGATTTAAAATGACCATTGCTTTTTACGGTTTAGCAATAAGAACCCGGTTTGAAGAGTTGACAAATCGCTTAGTATAAACTATATTAACATTAAGAAGGTTACAGATATTGAAAGTTTTCACAATGAAATAAGTTTGGTAATGGATAGATTTAGATCACAAGCTCGTGTGCCTAGAATTGAGACCATATTGTCGCAGTTTGTTAGTGTTTGCAATGGCACAGGGAATGAAGGGCCTATTTCAAATAGATTGTGTTCAATGCCTGGCTATTGCTGTTGAAAATCTCCATAACTTTCCCAGCAACAGCCAAGTATACCTAAATATAGTCGATTTCATGCTCTCGTTATGTCCAATCCAATTATTTTAAACCTAGAAACAACTAGCATTCTATAAAACTTGATTCCTAATGCTTAGAAGTCTATTTCATTTCCCCTAGCCCCATTGGCATACTGTTTATTATTGTTTACCTAAAGCCTAGAAGTCTTACCAGTTTGAAAGTTAATAAAGCTAAAATTGTGTCCTCTCAAGGAATAGCTTACATGGAGTATTTGGTCTACATGGCATAACATAATAATTAGCATTTGAGAGCTTGGAACTCAATGACCCATTTTAACAATTTCAAATAACTTCATAAAGATTATGGATGTATCTTCACTATTGCCAGTTAAATGCTGTAATTGTGCCTTAGCATAAAATAAAATAAAATAAAATTAAAATGCTGCAACTTTGCAATCATCCGTATTCAAGAGTACATGAAAGAACTAGCTATGCTAGAATTAAGCTTTTGTCAACTACATGATGGCGTTGTGGAAACAAGACTGGGAAGACATTTATCCAATTATTGGCAAATACTTTAAATAATAGACAATGATCCCTCAACGACTTTTATGCAAGGCCTGTTCATAAATGTCTGAAAAAATACTTTTGCCTTCTGAACAATTCAAAGTTTTTTTTGCTTAAAGGTGTTTGATCATGCATTGAGAATCTCTATAAAAGCAATTTCGATGATGAAAAAAAAGAAATGAAGTTATGGTCTTTTATAGTGTCAAGCATAACATAATTTTTAGAGTATCGAATAAAATAAGAGTTTAAATATCAAATAAATACAAATATGCAACAATAGTGTCTAATTGGAAGTGGGTCCTACGTATTGAAGTATTAAAGAAAAAAGTGCCAAGCTGGAAGGTGGTTAATGTATTGGAAGAAAGGAACCATAAAGTTGATATGTTGGCAAAGGAGTGAGTTAATAGAGAGGTGAGTCTTCTGGAAATTGTTAACTCAGTGTATATAGTCGATTTTGGGTAATATTTATTCTCTAAAAATCATTTTATCGTGTAACATTATATAAAGAATGATGAGAACAACTATTATAAGTGAAGCACTACTTCATGCAGAACAACTAGAATAAGTGGAACAATTAATATAAGTAGAACAACTATTTTGTAAGAAATAACAATTTCACACAGATGACAGTGAAAGTAATTCGGAATAAGTGGTAAGGTTCATGGGTTACTTTCATATTGAGATGTTTTGGAGAGTTTGGCTTGGTGGCTTAGATATGGAGGTAGTTAAGAGGTCTCTCTCTTAACCTTTTCCTGAAGTATAAGTATTTTTTAGTTTTTCCTTGTTCTCTTATACTTGTTCACGTTCAGCTTTTTTTCTTGTACCTGTTCATGTATAACTTCCTTTCTTGTACCTGTTTATGTACAACTCTTCTTTATTTGCTTATACTCGAGAACAAATCTTATTAAATATAATTACTTCAATCGTCATATAATAAGTTTTTAACTGTTACTCAACATTAACTCTCAGTAACGGTTACCTAACATTAAAACTGTTCTTAATAATATCATTCATTATGTGTATTAAAGCCATATCTTGTAACTGTTATTTTTGACACTATATATATATAGAGCCTTCATAATTCAAAAAGGGAACTTTTTAGAATGACTAAACTCTCATTCAAAGCTTTTTTCTCTAGCTTATACTCACTCAGAACACCTCTTCTTTTCTTATTCTCTTTTGCTTGTCACGACATTTAGTACTTCAAGAATTGCTCCAATCTTCCTTTCCATCACTTCTGATACATCCCTTACTTATTTTCAACGCTTCCTCTTCTTATCATAAGAACCCCATTTCACTCGAAAAGTAGCTTGAACAGTGTATCTGTTTGAAAGAAAGGAACTCATTCTGTGCTAAGCTGTGGTTGTTTTGATTTGTATGTCAGTGATTTTCCTTGGTTGCTGCATGTTTAACATCCCATTGTTGTTGGCATTATCGTTACCATTCTCATCTAGCTTCACCAACTCTTAAATCTTGGAAGTAAGCTTTGATGGAGAGTTCTCCAATCAGACCTTACCAGAGGAAGTAACCTGCTCGATCTTGCCAACAATAGTGGTTAAGGTCTTTTTTGACCTATGTTTCCAAAATTAGACTATTTTCCAGCAAAAAGAAGCAACCCTTAAAAAATTTGAGACAATACCAATATTTTTCATTGACTATAACACCGTTTTGGACTTACTTTCCATTGCACTTTCCACAAAAGAGTGGTCCTAGAAATTTATTAGGAGCATGGCATGACTAGGAGAAATGACATCCATTTTCTTGAAATGGACCTTCAGACCATGCATACGAGATAAGGACTGGAGAAAACAATAGTCAGATAGCACAAACTTTCCAACCATGAATGAAAATGGGAGAAAAGAGTGGAGATAAGACAAAATACAAGGGAAAGTTTCTACATGCAAGTGATAACTCTATTAAATAGAGTTATCTTATTATATTTTAGGTGTTAAATGGCTAAGTTCTCGAGTTTTAGATGTAGGTTAGGATGTTTTAGTTACTTTTCTTTGATTAAATAAAAGCATGTCATGTTCTTAAATCTCAATTATTTTTGACCAATTATGTGTTAAAATGTTTAACTTTTGTTGCTACTGATTTAATGACTTGTTTTAAAGGTTTATGAATAAAGAAGGGTTGAAGCTGAAAGGAATCGTGAAATGGTGGATTGGTGTAGAGGTGTGTTGACCATGCTATGGTCTTCTAAGCTTAACTTGAGTTAATGATGCTTAATAGCCATGAGTTTTGGATCATCAGAAGGCTAAGCCAAAGACCTATAACTTTTGTGTTGATCACTTCCACTAGTTCTGATCAGAGCATGGCCAAAATTACAAGGGAAGTGATGAAGCTATAGTAGGGGATAATACTAA